CACACACACACACATGCACACAGGCCCTCGATGCAGCATACAAAAAAGCAGCCGTCTCTGCCAATGTTGTAACCATGGGAATATAGTGTAAACAACAGCCACTGTCAAAATTGGATTGACTGCGCTTGTGTGTGTGTTTAATAAATAATTATTTCTGTATTTCTATTCTCCTGCCCGTGTAACATGCTGGTTTTAAGATGATATTTGAAGATCATCAACACAACAGGCAGGAACTAGACAGGCCAAATAAAATCAGGTGCAGCTCAGGCAGGAAACAGGGCAGGGCACAAAGTGGATCGTTATTTCACAATGGGATCAGCAGGTCCACTGGTTTGTTGAGTTTTCTCTCTGATGTAGGCAGAGCCATGGTTTTTTTTTTTTGGTATAAACTCATGTTCATTGCAGTATATCTGATGACATGCTGCGTGCGTATCTGGCAGAGCGCAGTTTGAGTTCATGGTAGCACTGTACAAAACTGTGGTAGATGAATGTGATGGGCAGTGCCAACAGAACAATGCCGCTCACCACACACATTCCCCCGAGCACCCGTCCTCCAGTTGTCACAGGGTACACATCCCCGTATCCCACCGTCGTCATGGAAATGATGACCCACCAGGCTGCGGCCGGTATGCTGGCGTAATCTGGGTTCTGCGTCCCCAAGTCCAAGCCGTGCTCCAGCAGCTGGGCCAGAGCGCTGTATATCGCCATGGCGACGCAGACAAACACCATCAGCATGACCATCTCCCGGTAGCAGCGTGTGAGTGTCAGCCCCAGTGTCTGCAGGCCCAGGAAGTGTCTGGCCAGCTTCATGAGCCAGAACACTCGCATCATCCTCAGCACCCGCAGTATCACCCCAGCAACCCCGAGCCCGGCACCCGGCATCCCTGCCCGGGCCATTGCCATGGTGACATAGTAGGGGGTGATGGCAATCACATCGATGATGTTCAGCGGCCGGCGGAGGAAGTCCCACTTGTTTCTGGCCACCAGAAAGCGCACTATGCACTCTGCTGTAAACCAGCCAATGCACACTGCCTCCACTATCCTACAGAGATAGAGAGCAGAGGAGAGAAAAAACAGTGTACTGTAAACAGGAAATGGCAGAGGAGCAGCAGAGAGATATATGTATAATGTGAGATAGCCTACTGTTTGACAATCAGTAAAAGTGAGGACAGGGGAAGCAAAGCAGGGGTGAGATAAATTATGGCAAATAAGGAAGACATCTCACGCAATTCAGGGTTGACTCAAGTAAACAAAGACGTACAGGGGATGGTAGATTAGAAAATTGATGGGAAACTGCACAGAGGGAGGGATTAAAAACCTTCAAAGAGAGAGTGTGACACAACCAAGCACACCATTACCCCATTGATTAGCACAGCAAAGGCAATCAAACTGCATTAGAGTGATGTGGTGTTAGTATTTGACATAGACGCAACGAGGCCAAGCAAACACCACAGAGCCAAGGGGTAACTACATCAGCACAATTACACCAAACCAAATTATAGAGCAACTGAGAGAATTGTATCATCTACTGGCATGAAACTAAATTGGAATCCTTTTGACCCCGAGTATAAACTACACTTTTATTTGATTACCTAACCACTGCAACTGATCCAAAACTATGTCCAGCCGGAGTGAACATAACGTATCCTTATATAGAGAAAGGCCGCCTCAGGCTTCTTACAGAGGACAGACTGTGGCCAAAATAATGTGGAAAGAGAGGTGCACTTTTTTTTTTAATCTTGAGTCCAGAAAGCCAAAATAACTATTCCAAAAACTGACTTAGATATAAGGTGATTCCTGTAAGTGGCTTAATTCATTTGTTTGCTTATACTAATATATGATCCCTCAGTACACGTTCTTCTTTCAAAACATTATAACCCCCTGGAATATTATGAATCTGGCATCTATCTGATATGTTTGTCCTCCTTGTGTACTGTGTAATGTAAACTAACCAAGCAAATAAAGATATTCAAATTAATTCTGAAGAGGAAGAGGGGGTGGAGGGAGAGACTGGGGAGGAAAACAGAGGAAAGAAGGGTTTTCTGTGTTGTGTAATAATTAACACACTACACTTTTTTGTAGATAATATGGATTGATTATTGATTGGCTTTCTTGGGAGGCTGCCTGACATGTGACGGCAATGTTTAATGTGCTGCCTGAAACTTGTCATTGGGCTGTATTGACTTAAGGGGCGTCAAATCACTAAACACAAGTCCCTAAAATACCTAACTGTTTTATTTTTATTACTTCAAAGAAACTGATGGTTTTGACTCTTTTATAGTTTTAAATAACGGTAATGGGACTGAAAACGTTAGAATATTACAAATGCATTCATACATCGACCTTTGGGGTAATAAATGGATAATGCGCAATGAGTCTGACCGCTGCCTTGAACGCACACAGGCGCTGGCATGAGACTCAGCGTCTGTGAGTGTGTTTATTTATTCAGTGTTTATTGTGACAGAAACGTCTCCTTGATTTAGCCTGTTGGGCTCACGAAGTCACTAAGTTACTGGCTTTTACGCACAGTCTCATCCAGGATATCCGCACACATTGCGCCTAAACATTTAGCAGCATCCTTTAAAAAAAAGGGGGGTCTCTTCTATTCTTCTAAACTTCCCACCTACCTGTGCTCCTCCACAGTCGTTCTCTTGGCTGTATCCCAGTCCGGCAGGGTGCTTGCACACAGCATGATCATAGAAACCATCACAAATATCACGGACACTGAGGCCAAAAGCTGCGCCGCGAGAGAAGAGTTGGGCTCCTCGAATGCTTTGCGCATCTTCTCGAGCCATTTAGCGCGACCTGTGAGCGCAGTCTGTTGCCCCGGCTCCCCCGGGCTCTGGGGCTCATCCCCCGACACTCCGATGTCCGCCTCGGAAAAAGTGTCCATTCCTATCTCGGTCATCTTGTCGTCCAGGCGTTTCTGGCAGCAGGAGTCCAAGTGCGCGCTCTCCAGTCCCCAGTAGAGCATCTCTGTGTAGAAGGACAGCTCACACACTCCGGGGACGAAGCGGAGTTTACCGGAGCGCACGTACAGCATGATAAACACGAAAGCCTGTGCGTGGCGGTCAAAGAAAAACTCATTCCGGTCCCGGTCGTAGTCGTCGCACAGTTCAAGAACCTCTTTCTCGGTTGCGCAGGCATGCAGGCGGCTGACGCGCCGGAGAGGGAAATCCCTGATCACCTCACGGGTGAAGGCGTACCGGGTTCCCCCTACATTGAGCACGCAGATGCTCTTCCCGAACTTCATCTTGTCAACCTGTAACCCTGACTAAAACTCCTCTTCACTGTCCATTCCGGCTTCCATAACAGGAGTTTGGACACTCAGGGGGGCCCACAGTCTCCCCTGTCCCCCGGGGCGTGGTTCGCTCAGAGTGGAGGTGGCTCTGCGCTGAGCTCCGTGGCTGATGGAAACTATTGCCTCTGTCCCTCACGCCTCCTTGTCTCCCTCTGTAGCCTGTGGAAGAGACTCTCCACCCCAGTACAGGGGGAGCCAATCCCATCAATGATGTCACATGCGCGCGCACGGACACACGCACGGGCAAGAGAATAAACTCACATAAACTGGAGCGTAATTTATGTCCAAAGTAGATGTTGTCTCCATAGATATGAAACAGAACAAGTATTTTTCTGTGGATGGATCTTACAGGTTTTCCCCGCTTCCCACTACATACGGAAACACACAGAACATGAGAAATACATGTACACAAATAAATATTTAGGGATTTGTGCACAATACTTGTTCTATTGTAGCCAACGATAGTTTACATCTTGGACTTTAACAAAGATACTAAGTTTTTAAAAGTTTTTTTGACAGATATTGCGAAAAAGATATGTGTGGAAATTATAATTTTTGTATAAAAAATGTAATTTTCGCTGAAAAAACCTACTAAAATCAGCACGATGTGACATTTATTGGAGTCATATTATGTTTTCTTACATATTTAAATTACATTATTAACATTAAGCACCTACAGTACTTTGGTTTTAATGCTGTTTTATCCCACATTTTACCAAAAAAAAAAACTGCAGCTTCTGCGATTAAATATGCATTTTATTATGCTAATTTACCTCAGTGTCTCCTTTAATATCAAGCAACCTGCTTACACATGTGTTTGTATGTTTGTATTGTCGCCAAAATAAACAAACCTGCATCACAAACACGGTTGCACAAGACTACAAAGAATAAAATACGCACACTAAATGTTGTTTTATTTCCTTTAACCAGTGTGTGTGTATGCATGTGTGTATGCATGTGTGTG